CCTCCCCCCCCCCCCCCCCCCCCCCCCCAGTTTGTTTCAGTCATGGCAGAGTGGACAGTAGGTCCTCACCACTCTAGTCTGAAAGCCATTCCTTGACACCAGCATCTTTGGTCTCCTTCCCTAATGCTATTTTACAGCTGTTGAGTTCCAGATGTTCACCTCCTATACCTTCTTTTGTCAGCCATGTTTTAAGGTTTCCATACCACCTTCCTCATCTTTGACATGTCCAGTGCTTTTACTCATTTTCAATGTCTTTGGCTATTTGAACTTGGGCAAACTTTTGGCGATTACTTTTAGTGTGTCCTAGTTACTTGTTTTTTTCATTACTTTTCTTCATGCAGGAGTCTTTCCTGTGTTTCTTTGGAGAGGTAATCTCTGACTTCCACAGGTTTGGTATGTCTTCATGCAGGCCATTTACTATCCTGTATGTTTGGTGTGTTACTTGGTGTCTCAGCAAGATGCTATAGAGAAAGGGAAAGCGAATGTGGGGTAAATTAAGGTAACTCTTTCCCAGATCATCCTCCTCTGGTGTTACCATTCTCTGTTAGAACACTAAAAATTATCATTTCAGCTCTCATTCTTTCATCATCTTTGTTTTATATGCTTGGGCCATCTTGAAATTCTGCTTGCTACTTCCTCTGAGCACTTGAAAATGTTGTTGAAAAACTCTCTCAAGATTCTCTGTTACTTTCAGTACTCTTACCTCTTGCTTCCTGACAGCCACGCTTCTCCAATTCAGTCAGAATGAAGGGAAGATGAAATTTAATGTCCTTTTATATATATATGTATGTATGTGTATGTTTAAAGAAGGGAAAGAGAAGAACTTTCTCCATCAAAAAGCCCACTTGCTGTATTGTCAGTCCTATCCTGTCACACAGAAATGAGCTGAGGAACATGTTATTTACAGAGAAACAGTGACTTTCAGAAGTGGTGTTCCTGGATTTCTATCTGCATTTATTGGCCCTTCAACTCAAACATGAGCTGCTTGTCTCATGCCTCTTCCTCTTTACCCTTCTCTTCTTGAATTAAACAAAACAAACAAACAAACAAACAAAAAAAGCTGGAAGAATTGCAAGAGGACTTGAAATAACTAAAAGAAACTTCACCTGAATGATATAAAGGAGGATTGTCTCCTACTTGGCTCTCCTTCAGAGGTTTCACTTGGGTGGCTCACCTCTGCTTGCAACAACTTGAGATCCTGGTCCTTATGCTGACTTCCAAGGAGTGTTTGAGAAGTCCTGTTATGCTGCTGGTGCCTCCCCAGAGGAGTGCCTCCCCTGTATGGCAGCTTTGTGCATGTGTAAGGCCAGTCACTAGTGTAGGAGCGACGCTGAAGAGTAGACTTTGGAGTGCCTGCTTTTCCTTCTGAGCTTTACCTAGTGAATTCCTATCTATAGCAATTAAGATGAGACCAAGTCACGTGTTAAGTGTCATGGGAAAATCCTTCTCCTTAAGCATCCTGCAAATACCCTCTTACCCTCTTTCCTCACTTCTTTTAGGAAACTTGGCTGCTTTAATGATGTTCTTTCACCCTCTTGTGTGCATCACAGACCTTTATTCCCCCCTCATGAGTTATGTGTGAGTTGTTGAACAGACCCTCCACCCACTGCTGCTTTTCTGGTGAGCTTTTCATCAACAGCGTGCAGAATTTTCCACCTTTGCCCTACCCCAGTCTCCCATCAGCATATACAGTATATCCTCAGAGGGTATACTTGTATCTGATAGGAAAAAAATCTGTCCTTTTGTCTTTCCAGATTACTTCCACATCCTTTGTAATGATGTTTTCAGTACTTATTGATGTTATGTGTAATAATAAAAATAATAATTAAAAAATCAAGACTTTGTTCTTAATCATCTTTAGGTACTTTCCATTCTCTCTGTTTTCCTCACTTTCCTGCTATTAGCCACTTGTTAGCTCAATTCATTATTAATTTTATAGGCTGAGTGACTGCTTTATTTCTTAAAAGACTATGATGTAACTTTACATTTTTGGCTACTTTGAATAAATGGGAATGTTTTCCTTTAAGGTTTTGTATCCCCTTACCAATGGCTTCAGCAAATGTGTTGGGATCTATCTGTCACTGTAGTAGCCATTTTACAATATTGAATTATTTTCATTTTCTTGATTAGCTCTTATAGGCTGAGTGACTGCTTTATTTCTTAAAAGACTATGATGTAACTTTACATTTTTGGCTACTTTGAATAAATGGGAATGTTTTCCTTTAAGGTTTTGTATCCCCTTACCAATGGCTTCAGCAAATGTGTTGGGATCTATCTGTCACTGTAGTAGCCATTTTACAATATTGAATTATTTTCATTTTCTTGATTAGCTCTCAGTGAACTGATGTCTCCAGACTAGGATTAAGTCCAGCTATGCAGTTCTATGGCACTAGGTATTTTTTTCTTAGGTTTGAGGCAGAATTTGGTTTAGCAATTTTGAAGTAGAAAAACAGAATTTAGACTTTTCCCAATGTTTTGCTTACTCTTACACTAGTAAAACAAATGAAATTGTTTATATCCAGTTAAGGTTATATTGTGTAGAATGAAAATGTGCCTGCCACATCAACAGAACTATCTAAGTTTTCAAAAAATAATGGCAGGGAAAATATTTAAGGGCTTGGAATAGAAATGTGTAAAAAGTGGCAACAGAGCAGTCCTGCTGTGTTCCTGAGCCTAGGCTGCTGTTCTTGTGTATCAGGACTAAATAAGATACAGCTGTGGATTGTAATTTCTTGAAAGCAGTGTATCACTGTTTAAAACTCACTTTAATCCTTGCAGACCAGTAATGGAGGAGGGAGTTTAAGTGATTATTCCTCCTCTGTCCCATCAACTCCAAGCACCAGCCAGAAGGAGCTACGGATTGATGTTCCTCCCACTGCCAACACACCAACTCCTGTCCGTAAACAGTCCAAGCGCCGATCCAACCTCTTCACGGTGAGTGAGCCAAGGAAGAGACTATTGCTGTATTATACATAGTGCTCTGTGGTGATGGCCTGAACTTCAACCCTGTTGAGTTGAGCTAGTCTAATCCAGACAGGCGTGTTGAGATGAATCCACAGTCTTAAAATCTAAAAGATCTTAGAATTACCATGGGGCGGTTCGGTTCAAGGACTTAAAGAGAAACTAAATACAGTGAAGTTATCCTTCTGGGAATTGCAGTGAAACAAATAAGTCCATGGTTGAATTCCGGAGCCTTTGTCTGACTTTAATTCTCAGACCTATCTAGATTCCCTGGTTTGGCAGTAATCGAAGAGAAAGCTGGGCCTCTGCTCCCCAGTCCTGCCCTTATACTGAATAATACTGCTGACTCGAGGCTTCCTTCTCAAGTCTCCTGTGTTTGTAGAGAGGTCTCGGGTTTACCATGGGAATATTGTGCGGTACTGCAAAGTAACTACCCCATGCTACTTTTATTACTATACAGTCTCAACTCACTTTTCTTTTCCAGGATTAAAAGAGATGATGGAGATTAAAATGATTTTTTTTCCTCCCAAACCATCTGGTTTTTGCTTCATTGAGAGGCAAAAAAAATGTACTAAATAGAAAGCTTGACTGGTCCAATATGATAGGTCTTTGTTATGCATAAGTAGTTTGGGAAATGATAATGAAGCCTTGAGTGATGATTTCCTTAGTTTAGCAGTCTTGCTGAAAGCTTTGGGATTGTATTGTGTGCGTAATTGTGGTTTTGTAAGCAGTTTTTTGACGCTTCACATGCTTTATAGCAAATACAGAACCCCTGTGGGCTCACATGTAAGTCCCTTGGTGATTGTAGCTACATGTTACTTGTGTTTAGAAAGCCACGGCTTCCCTGTCATCATAAAGAGTTTATATTTTTTTTTATTCCAAAGGTGATGTCATGTTCACTTCCCAAAACTAGCTTGCTCCTTGGTCGTATCCAGGGAACCGCATACAAAACCAGTAAAACCATTTCCTTGTACTCTAAACAAAATCTGACCTTTTGGCCTTTAGCAAGTAGAAAGTTTTGTCATCATTTTGGAGTGCTGAGTGACAGCACAGAGTCCCAGGGGTCCTATTTCCTGTGTCCATCCCAAAAGTGATATTTTGCTTTAAAATGAGATTTTCAAATTCCTACAAAGGAACAAAAATCATGCATTTGTGTTTGTCTAGGTGCGAAACAATAAAATGTGGAAAAATGAGTGGCATGTGAAAAAGTGTCCAGCTTTGACACTGATATTTTATAGCAATCATGCAGATTTCCTCCTGTTGGTGGGAATTCTCACTGCTGTTCGGGCATACTTGGGAGTTACCAGCTCCACTAGGTGTCAGTGTCAGCCCAGAAACTGCAGCAGAGGTAATACCTCTGGAAATAGAGCTGAGATGCTACAGCATCCCTCAAAAGCATTCGCCGACCATTTCTGGTCTGAAGGATGCATAAAATGCTATAAGGGCTGTATAGATGTTGTTGACATTTGGGAAACTGGAGATATTTTAAACTGGAGTAAGTGTAAATTTGAGAAAGTGAATAGAGAAAAATATACCCATCTACAATTGCAGAAAGGGTTTGAGAAGAATGTTAAGTCAGCTGCATTTGCTATAAGCAAATAGGCTAAAGCTCTGGTTTGTGATAATTAATAGCATAGTGAGAACCAAATTTACTAATAAGAGAGGACGTAGATAGTTGTCTTAATGTCTAATAACTGGGGGAAAATTCCGGGGAAAACAAATCCTATGGAGAAAAAAAATAATAATTTGACTTTTCAGAATTAGTTTGTTCTTTTAAGATCCGGGCATATTGAATGTGTAATGAGTTGCCCTGTAATCCATGTCCTGAAGTATTTAACACTTGACCCTGCTGTAAGCCAGGTTTCATGCCATATCAGCCAAGTCATAACTTGGAATTATTTAATTGCATAAATAGATGACCTGTATTTTCTGTCTAGTTATGAACAGAGTGCGTAATCAAAATATTTTACTGTTTAGCTCTGGGTTTCTTGCTGTGCTTCTTTCCTAGCCTGTTCCTTGCTTATGCCTTTATCACTTACAAAATCAAATATATTCCTGTTTAATTGCAAATTACCCCTTGTTATCTAGCATAGGTAATATGTTTAGTTTCCTACATGAAGATCTTTCAGTGTTGGAAGAAAATTGGGTTAAGTAGAAAACAGATATGATTTTTCTTAAATCAATTACAGCTTTTGAGTTGGAATAGGGTTGAGAATTTTAAGCATGTTCATGTTTAAGTGCATTAAATGCAGTATCTGATCTTTTTGACTTTGATTATTAGTATTTGCTGTAAAGCTGTTGTTGCAATAGCTGACTTTCTGTTTAGGTGATAAAATAGATCAAATACTAGCAGAAGGGTAAATGTCCTTTGTTTTGTGCAGTGTATTAACAGAGGCAACTAAATAGTGTATAGCGCAGGTGGGGATTTAAGATGCATATGAGCTCCACTTCAGGAAAGAACTGATTGTGTAACTATGTGTCCAATCCCATATGGGGTGAATGAACTTTTGGTACAGTAAGATGCATCTCCTTTCCCATATTCGATACTACCTACCTTACACCTTCGCAGAGTTGCAAGCAAGACTTTTTTAAAAGTTAAAATGAACTCTCTGTCTCAGTATCTACTATTAGAGATCAGTATTCTTACTTTTGGGGCTCTGGACTGCTGGTACTGGATTCTGGTTGTGCCCAAACTCAGGTGCTGTATCTCTCTGGGACTAGATCTTATTTCACAGACCTAACTTGGGTAGGGTTCTATGTTGACGAAGTCTGCGTACGACTTCCAACGCAAAGGGGAAATGAGTCAAATGATATTCATGCCGGTGTTGTAATTTTTTTGGACGACTTCCGGTTTGCTTGAATGAAGTTTTAAATAGAACGACTTGATGTGTAATCAGAAAAAGTTCTAGCAAATGTTGATCCAGTATGGTTTAGAGTCTGTTTTTTCACACTATAGGATGTGAGATGCATTGTGTGTGTCATAGGTACAAAAGCATAAAAGATCAGAATATATCTCTCTTTCACTGCACGATTTGTCTTTATAAATAGCAGAGCCTGCTAAGATTCTCCCCTTGAAAATTTTCTGTGTTCAGTGATTACAAGCAGCTAGACTAGAATTTGCCTAACAGAAATTCCTACATTTCTATACTTCTGGCATTTGACAATATTTTGCATATAGATATTTCCCTTCTATGTGCAATGTATTATTTCCAGATGCAGTTACTTCCACGGAATGGAAGATGCGATGATGTAAAAAAAAAAAAAAAAAAAAAAAGTGCATAGATATTTAGCTTGCTTTTCAGAGGCAGGATCTTTTCTTTAAAAAAGTCAAATAAAAAAGAAACATTCCAGTTGACAACTTCCCTGCCAAGGATTTGGCTACCTTCACTGAGTTTCTTTAAAATGTCACTTACGGGTGCTTTGCACCATTGAAGCATTGTTTTGCCTTGTATTATTGGGAAGTGGCACTTTCAGATTCAGAAATCTGTCTTGAAGGACGAGGAACAATAGTGATCCTGAACATTGGGTTTCATCCCTCCCACTTGTTTTGCTTTCTTTCATTTATTCTTTGTTTAATTCCCCAGCACGTCATTCCATTGCCCCGAACCATAGTAACTCCTGATAGGAGCCCGCTCCCGGCGGAGCAGGGGAAGCAGCACAGGATCCCTGCTGGGTAAATGTGTTGCTTAGAATGGTGTTACTTGAAGTCCTCCTCCGTGGGTTTTCTCCCTCCCCTTCCCTCCTCTTGCCCCTGAAGGCAACTGCTTTGGGGATTTTTTTCTTCCTTCTACCCCTTCGTACAACATGGAAAATGGGTATTAGCTATCTGCGATTGTAATCATTCTCCTAATTTCAGTGTCTTTCAAACATCTCTTTCTGCTGAAAATGAAAAGCGTGATTTGTGTCACTGGTTTGCATTAATTCCCATTGTGGTACTGGACATCACGAATGTATTCGTTTCATATATCATCTCTGATTTGAAAAGCACATGAAAATGTTTTCCCATTTTCGATATTGTGTGAGTAATGTTCCTATTGAAAAGTAATGGAGTGAAGTTGTCACTTGTCAGTTCAGTTATTAAGGAGGATGACTCTCAGGTCTTCTTTTTGTAATAAAATAAATCCGTCACAATCGTTATGCTCATGCGTTCTTTCACAATAATGGACTAGAATCTGAATAACTTCTTAAAATTACTACATAACTTTATAAAGTCATGAAGTGAGCACTGTGAACTTGCTCCTAAGGCAGTTCTAGTGTTATAGAAAGCCAAGATCAGGCAATTCAGGTTTTAAGCATTGGTTTAATTTTCCTCATGCTGATTTTTCTTCATTGTGTTCAGATAACTTTTTTCAGTATCAATCGCTACCTTTTCTTGCAATTCCAACTTTCTAACTATCCAAAAGTAGGGGGAAAAAAGAGTTAAAGTCAATATGATCAAAACCAGCATCATAAAATAGCATTTCTAAGTAGTTCTAAAAACCACACAGATGTAAGTTAAATGTATGCATGTATATATCAGATTTTTTTAATGAGAAGCTGGAACCTTCATTCCTCGTTGGAGCTATTGGAGACTTCAGAAATGTGTCCTCTGATCCGCTGGGTCTTCAGGCAGTGAAACTGTAACTCTTTAAACCCAAACGCCATTTCAAACAAGTGGATGGTTGAAAATTACAGGCGGTAATTCAGTATTCAGATTTTGGGACGGTTGTGTGCTTTTGTAGATTCTAACCCGCACCCTTTGAGTCTATATTTATGTGTCAAAATACTTCTTTTTAATTGCTTTAAAAAAGGAAAAAAAAAGCATCCTCTGTGTGAACCGCTACGTTTAATGGAGCACAAACTTTCTTTTTGCTCTGCAGTCTCGGAAAGGGAGTGACCCAGACAAAGAGAAGAAGGTCCTGGAGAGCAGAACAGACAGCATTGGAAGCGGTCGTGCAATCCCAATTAAACAGGTAATGCCGAAATACTTTTTTTTTTTTTTTCCCCCTCCTTCTTTCCATAGTTGGAGACACACCTCGGGTCTTAAGCACTCTGATGGCGGGCCCGTGCGCCAAGATGCGTTTGATGTGCTCCGGTGATGAATGTGGAAGTCACTCACTTGACATCAATTAGGAGAGGTTCCTATGTGTATTAAAATAGGATCATTAGAATAAGAAGAGGGAAAATGTGACAACAGGCCTAATGAAGTGCAGTCTGCCGGCCTGCATATGGAGCGGGTTTCTAGGCTGTGCTGGCTTCAAAGCTGCCTTTGTAGAGGGGGCTTTGATTGGGCTGTGTGCTGCCAGTCGGCGGGGTAAATCAGATCGCTCTACAAGAGCCCCTTGTGATCGCAGAAATAGCCTGATGTGGCCCTAATTTGCTACTGCAGACGGACATCTGAACACTGTTTCAGGCTGGTTTGTAACAACGAGGCAATTAGTTGTGATAATCATAGCCGGTGTGTCAGCTGTGCGCTCTTGTTTGTAATTTGCTAATGAAGGAATTGTAACTTTGATTAGGTTCAGTTTCATTTAGACCTTATTATATAAGAGAACGTTTACAGCTGTAATGTGTGGCCTTAATTAAACTTCCTCATTACACAACAGGACTTGAATTCAAGGATTTGTTTTGGTCTGTTTTACTAGCCTAGATGCGCTTTCATTAGCCCAGAAACTCAATGCTAAATTGTAGTTGTGAACGCTCCTTTGAAAGTCAAAATGCTGAAATACCAGCATCTAATGCGAAGTATTTGGGTGAATGAGATCATTTACTTTCTCAAATTAAATTACACTGAATTCACGCGGTTAAGAACACCATGCTAAGCATTTGTATGAAATGCTTTACAAATAGTTTCTGTGGTAGTGTTTGCAAGTATTTACTTTCATGTGAGTTACTGTGCTGGAGACAGCAAAAGTGCTGAGGGAAGGGAGCGTATTTTCTTCCCACACGGTTGTTTCCAGTTTCTTTTGGTGGCTTTCCTACTTTCCAGAGGGTCACTTGCCTCTTCTAATCTTTCCTCAGTCCATGCTTCATCTTGTCGGGTAGCCCTGGGTCTCCTATTTGGGGGTGGGTTTATGTGCTTTGTCGAGTTTGTTGGTTTTTTTCTTTTTGGAAGTAAGGGGGAGATGATTTTGTGCCCTTAACTATTTGCAGTGATTTTCTTTCTTAAAGGCAGTTAAAAAGACCTTTTGGGACCATCAGGCAGCAAAAGTGCTGTCGTGTCTGTGAATCTCTAGTAGACAAATTTTAATCAAACACACTGCAATTCAGAAGAGCAGTTTGAAACCAGATAAGATCAGTATTTGGCTCTGCGGTCAGGGGAGGAGATTCCAGGTATTTAAAACAAGCTACAATTTTTTTTTTTCTACAGCTTTTGTATGGTACGAGACGGGTTAGACCGGCTGGAATTCTTTTGGGTAATGCTAATTAAACAAAAGTGTCTGCAAATGCAGCTGAGAATGTAAAAACTGAGGAATATACTTTTCAATATTTATTCAAGGCATACATACTGTTCTTTTCTAAAATGCTGTTGTATGAAATTAGTTTGATTAAAAATGCACTTGTAGGAAGAGTACTGTAAGATAAGCATTTGAAGTGTGATTGCACTGTACCGTGTTCTAATGAAATATCCCCTACAGTCTCTTGAATTTCTGTATTGAAAAATTCTCCCTGCAAGCCCTACTTGTATACTGAGTATGACCAATCTTTTGGGAATGCATATTTTCGTTATTAATCCCAATTATGGTAATTTCATTTTGTCATGTACAAGCAATTCTCAGCAAATATTTGAGCAGGTCTGTAGTCAGCAGTTACATCCTATTTGTCAGGGTTTTGGAAGGGTGCTAGAAGGAGGGAGGGTAAATGGCATGCAGTGTTGTAGGATGGCTGCTATCAGTGGTATTTTGCATCATACATATGTGTCAAGAGAGTGGATTTTGGAGTTCATTGGGTTTCTACTTTATAGATGGTCCTCAGTAAAGTGTAGGAGACCAGCATCACCTAGCAATTGAAGCAAAAGAAGATGGGGTAGGAAAAAAACCTGCTTTGATGTGGAAACATTTAATTAAAAATTGAAATACAATATGTATTCATACTGACAATGTTTCATTACTGTTTAAAAACATACATTAGTTTAGAAAAAAGCTTTTTTCTACCCACTATTTAGATGGAGAGCTCCTATCAGTAGAGGTGGCACCAAGTTAAATTGCTGATATGACTGTGTTCTTGGTGGGCTCTACAGGTGCCATACGGGTGGATGTTCCTCTGAGGCAGTAGAAATTCCTGCTCGAAAAGATGGCATCTCTTTTATTTTATGTGTTAACTGTGAATAAGACAGAGGGATGTGAAAAGGAACTTTTTGACCTGAAAACTTTAGTATGTCATGCTATTGTGCTCCTTACAAGTGAGAAGCCCCTTTGCATCACAATATGTTTCTGTGACAAATGGTCAGGGAATAGAAAGAGAAATATGTTTTCAGGAAGTTGAATGCAGATTGTAGTATTCACAGTGTTGCTGTGGGAGTGATTTCTTACTATACCATTAAAAGACTTTTTTCTTTTTAATCTTTTTGTCACCGTGTTTTCCAATGTTTGTCCTCCTACTAGCCCGAAAGTCACATTGCTGCACTACCTCATGCTAGAATCAGGAGTAACCTCCAGTTACATTAAATGTTCTCTGACTTCTTTAAGCTGCTGTTGAGCAAAATGCCTTTGCCAGCTTCATGCACATATTCTTCTGTAATGTCTTTGGGACATCTTCAAAAGCATGCAGGGACCAGGCCTTTTTAATATCTGTTGTCAGTACTTTGTTTTGTTCTCTGTTAGTTCTTACTCTATGTGCATGGCAGCAATACTTTAAAAGGGCTGCTGGCAAGGCTGTGCTTCTGGTGCCAAAAAAAAAAAAAAAAGGAAGTTCTGGTTGAAACTCAAATACAGTGGATTTTGTGTTCTCAGTTCACTGCTACTTGAAAAAAAGGTAATTACAAAAAAGCGAATAGAAAAAAGAAGTCTTGCTATTCAGATGCTGAAATCAATGGCTTGGTTATCCAGTGTATTTTATGGTGCCTATGGGTTGTTCTTATCTACCCAGGGTCTCCCAAAAATCAGAAATGCTATTTCCCAACTTCAAAACAAAACAAAAAAACCCCAAAACAACAACAAAAGAAAACTCCACAAAACCAAAACAAGTTAATTGGAGATTGGAAATGTTCTGGTTTTGAGAAAAAAAACGAAATCTCTTCCAGTGCTAGAGGTGCACGTGAAAGGGGGGAGGAAGAGCTGATACTAGTCAAGTATGTTTGTGTGTGGTGGGGAGAGCACAGAATAAATGTGTGAAAAAGTCAGGTCTCTAGGATATGTAGAAGATGTGATGACGAGGAGTTTGTCATTCATCTCAACTACAGCTTTTTCATAGAAGAGGTAGGTCTCTATTGCAGCTGTTGAACCAACATAGCTATGGTTGATGTCTGTCGTCAAAGTCATGTTTTTGTATCTTTGGAGACAGTTTAAACTGGTAGAGGAGTGGGGTTTTTGTAGGGGCATTTAATTTCTCTTCTGGTTTCTCTCTAAATGAACATACACATCCTGTGAAATGAGCTATGCTGGCATAAACAGTTGCTTATAATTCTGTATTACAGCCTTTCTGGGACCCAGATACCGGCCTGCACGGCTACGAGAGTTTGGTGTGGTTTTTGGTCGAAAGAAGCCGAGAGTTGCAACCTGCTCCTGAATTCCTGTTCTCTGTCCCTGAATTCCTGAGGGTTTGGGGGAAATAGGCAAAATTGTAAATACCATGTTTTCTTCCAAGGAAATGCCTCACTCCTTCAGGGCTTTTTCCTTAACTTAAAGCAGTCTGGTTGAAAGGAGTTGTTCTTACTCTTTCTGTCCTTTCTAAACGTTAAAAATCACTTTTCACTGCAGTGCTAAATATGGTTTTATTGGGCTAAGCCAAATAAAACTGTTCTGACGAACCTTCTTGCTCCTAGCAGAAACCCAAAACGTAGGCAATGAAAAGCAGGCGTGTTTTTAAAATGTGGCTGCTAACTTCTGCCAAAATAGTCTAAGGTGAGTGAAATTTTGGGAAGGCCAATTTCCCAGGGAGGTACAAACACCTCCTGCATGTGTAGTGGTATCAGCATGCCTTAAATCCTGTGCTCTTAGCATCCTTTGAGAACTGTCAATGGCATAATTTTCCAAAAAGAAAAAGAGTTTCACTTGTGTGCTACTTAAATATCTTCTACTAATCAAATGGAGTCAGAAAATGTCTGGAAAATCCATAGAAAGTTCTGTACTTCTGAGAGAGAGGCGGTTAAACTAAAAATATTTAAGCTGTCTTCTGTAGCATTTCTCATACTACCCTTAAAGCAAACTTAGGCTTACTCTGTTTGGAGTATCCTCTGTTCAAAACCATTTCTTCTGAAAATGAAGACTTGTTCCTGGTAGCCTGAGTGAATATTTTGAAGCACGTATTAGGCTATACAGTTTAGGGTGACATACTTTCTAGGATGGGGGCGGGGGGTTGTAGCATTTTGGGAAGATTACTTTGTTTTCTGCAGTTTTGCTAAACCCTTATCAGTAGGGCATATTCAAATAAAAAAAAGCACAACAAGAAAAATAAAAGCAAGAAGCTCAGCTCAGCGGTGAGTGGGCTTGTCATGTATTAATTTTTCATTGCTGTGGAGAATTGTACATACATAATCACTTGATTGCAGTGGGAGTTAGTGAGCTCCTATGGTGTCATTTGCATAAATCTTGTTAAGTCAATGGCAGTTAATGAAGTACAAATGAGCCTGGAGAAGGTGACATGCAAATCGTGGGTGGCAGATGGGAGGTCTGTTTTTGGGATGGCAGCTGTGTGCTCTTACCCCCCCCCCCCCCCCCCCCCCCCCTGAAATTCCTGTATCTCCACATCTCCTGCAACCACTTGCTATAATAAATACCAAGAGCTGGCCTTGACTTTCTGCTTTCAGACCTTC